CCTCTTGACCGTCGCAAGTTTTGCTTATTGGGGCGCCAAAAGAAACAGGATCAAAGAAGGACTCCATACCTTCCAGCCTGGAACAAACAAAGGAAATGGTCTTTTCAGTTATCCACTTCTATGATTGTTGGAGGGAGGGTGAGGTGTTTGAGAACATAGTTGTCAATGTCGGACCTGCGTCACCCATGAACCACACAAGTCTCTCAGTGTCCTCCCCGCCCTCCGCTCAGACAGCGAGCTGGCACTGGCTCTCGCCTGATCGCCCATGCGATGGCAGCCGTCGCGGGTGATTCCCGGATTCCCACAGGTCGGGTCGCTTGTGGGATGGTCAGAGATGTCATGAAGCTCCTTGATTTGGGCCTTTTGGTGAGAGTTTTGTTAATGTAAATCATCGCGAAAGACATGCTAATGTAGACTGATTCACTCTTAGTGAAATTGGAAAACATGTAGAACTCCCAAACGAAGAAGTTTTACGATCTATGTCAATGTCTGGTGTTGTTTTCTTCTTCAAGCGTGGACATGGCCGCTGTGTCCACCATCACCATGACTGGAGTGGATTCCTCACCCACCTCCCCCAAAGATGTGGGACCCCATGATCGTCCACATCGATTTCACCTGAGGAGGCGCGCGGGAACCTCTTCTGGCACGCTGATGTGTCGGGACCTCCGGCAGAGAGCACACCAGACACCAGTTCAGGGCGCATAAGGTGGTCCTCAAATGGGGAACAGTCTAATGGGTTATATACCCTCCAGTTCAACCAACAATGGGTTTGTGAAACGGGGCTTTCAAGCAATCTCAAAAGAAGGGACGATTGGGAGTCACTAGCAACCACACAGAGAACTATATGCCACAAGCTGGGCGGCATGGACTGAGACACATTCGAGCTTGGCTCTGGCCCTCTTGTGAGTCTCGTCAGAAGGAGGTGGATCCGGTACACTCCCTGCCCACGCTGCACTGTCCGGGGGTTGCACATGCACCAGCAGGAGGGTGCATCATGGTGCATCCAGCCTCACATACCGAGTCGTGGACGATGACGCTGGGAAACTCTGTGGCGGGTGAGGTGTTTCAAAACCACTTGAAAAGCTGTCACCACGGCTTCAAAGTGCGGCTACTCTTTTAAGCACCAGGAATTGAAAACCATTGTCCAATCTTCCATTCTGTACCCCGACATGGAAGTGCTGGCAGGCTGTCCATTTTTGCCGATCTGTGAGGCCGAACCCCTTCATCAAACCCCTACCTGCGTTGAACGTAGAAGTGGATGGAAGGTGCTTGGAAAGACCATTGTCCTCTACAAACAGGGGATGAACTCACTTGCGTGGCTTGTTGCAGGTGGTATGGGGCGCCTATTAGCTTAGTTGCCTAGATGTTAAAATGAGAGGTATCCATGAACTACCCTGACCCTGGTATAGGACCTCCTGTGCATTGAGTGCCCGCACAGAACCCAGAGACTCTCCCAACCTGGTGCGCTCTGCAAAAGAGCAGGGGTGAGGTCCTGTGGGGCATTCCAGCTTGCTGTTCGACTGCTAAGGATGCAGTCTGGCATCTTATTGGAGGCTGTCGAGCCGCTGACGGCCCGCTTCGCTGGAGGGCCGGTGAGGGTGTAGTCCGGGTGGGGCAACCCCAGTCAAGAACCGAAGCGGCTCCAGAGTGTTCATTTCAGACCTGGAGCACTGGTCAGAGGCATCGATCTCGATGGGCCTTGTCGAATGTTAATTGGTCTTTTTTTGCACGTCACTGAGGCGAAGACACATCCATTTCATGTTAGGTTTTTTCTGCTACAGTGGCGCATCTCTGCCAACGTCTGCCAAGCTTGCCAACACGTTTTTACTACTGACAGCTCCGTCTACCTGCAGCACCCTCAAAATCGATTTTCTCTGCGCAAAGAAGGGGCACCCCAAAATGCTGCACTTACAAACCTTCACCGCCCTCACCAAGTTGATTTCTACAAATAAACCAAAAATCGGCATTTGACCCTTCTTCCCTTCTTTTGAAGTCGAGGGTCAACAAAGGGAACAAAAATTCCCCATGACCACACAACACACCCCCACCTCCAACCTCTAATCTTCTCTGACTCCAAAGCCCCAACCCCCACCTCGCCCCAACAAAAACACACAAATAGCGCAAGTCACCCGCTCGGAAAAATATAGCTCACAGTGACAAAAAATAGTCATCATTTTCCACATGGGGCACTCTCCAACTCAACTCCAGACCTCGCACCAGTCGGACCAGACCTCCGACGCCACGGACCACGCGTCGGCGTTGGGTTCCTGGATGGGCCTCGGTCGACAGGCTGGGCATGTCCGGGTGGGTGATGTGCGGGACTGGAGAAGAAGACCGCCCGAAAGCTGCCAGCTTTCAGCAGCTGTGAAAAGATTGTACAACATGTCTCTCGGTTTGCCTGGATTATACATAGTAAAAATGAAAAAACGCAAACAAAGTTGGCACAGCCGCAAGATCCATGTATGACTGCCCAGCCACCCCTCTTTCCAAGCTTTATCTACACCACTGGCCGCCAAGGCCTGGCGGTTTTTGTGGGAGAAACCGAATTGTTAGCCCCACCCACAAAAACCTGTCTGGCGTCACAGCAAGTTCCACCCAGATGGACCCGCGTGTTATGTCTGGTTCACCCAGTAGGGATTCCTTCCATAAGCCGGTTCAGGGGGAAAAACACAAAATCATTGAGCATGTTCAACCAGTATATACGCGTTGTTCGAAGGTGGCCTTGTAGACCCTAGCCTCTACCAAGTGTGGTTTTGATCCTACCACGGTTGTTTTTCCATCTTCGTTGTGTTCTTCAAGAGGGTGGTATCTCCAAGGCCGATGGTGCAGATCTTTGCAAGAAGGAAACCAACCGAGCACCAGGATCAAAACACTTAACCACCCAATTCATCTCCAGGATGCACTCATACCGCCCGAAACCCAGATAGACATCATATATAGATCATTATGGCGTTGAGCTAGAGCAATAACTGTACTTAGAGCGATTCCCACCAAAGGAACACGTTGCCATGGTTGTGGGTTTTGTGGTTTTCGATTTTGCTTGTGGGTCCTCGGATAGTTACTTGAGCGTTCGGGACTTCGCGTTGAGGTGTCGCTAGGGCCTCTTGGCATCCAGCGCTACCCTATTTCTTGACACACACAGGTAACTGGTGTGGTTGCGCTTTTGTGGTTGTGGGCGCGCTTATGATTGTGTTTGTGGGTCTGGTTGCGCTCGTGGTAGTGCGTTTGCGATTGTTCGTGGTAGTGTTTGCGGTTGAAGGTGTGTGATTGCGCTTGTGGTGTTGCGTTTGTGACTGTGTTTGTAGTTGTCTGTTTGCGCATGGGCTGTGCATTGTTGATTGTGAATTGTGTGTTGCGCGTTTGTGGTTATGTTGTGTAGTCGCGTGTCGTATGATGTCTGGTATGAAGTGCCTGCTGCGGTCTGGCCCCTGCGGTTGAGGTCCCGTAGTGCCCACTGCGATCTGGCACTTGCCCTTGAGGTCCGGTGTGCCCACTGCAATCTGGCACTTGCTGTTGAAGTCCGCCACTGCCTGGAGAAGGGCAAGCCCTTGGTTTTCCTGCGTTCTATCTACTCCAGCACTAACTCGTGTGCATCTCATTGTTAGATCTGTGCACGGGTTCACAAAATCATCGGATGAACCTAACCGCATTGCTTGAATCGATGGTACGAGCCTGGCAGCTGCCCCCTGTCCGTCAACGTGTAGTCTGTTTTTTGTCAATACCTTTTTGACTCCACAGATCTTGTCATCAGGCTTCATGCAAGCAAACACGACGCAATGAGGCCACAAGCCTTCCGCTGGGAATCTTCTGGCTTTCATGGCCTTCATGGCCGTCAAAGACCTCTGTCAGCCACACACGCGCTTCCACAAGCTGTAAGAGATCCCAGCCGCTTTGGCTTGGCGTTCGCTCGGCTCATTGCGCTCCAGCCATCGCACCTTCCTCGGCTTGAGTAGAGCAAAGGCAACACGTGACTAGATTAGCCATCATATCTCTCACACTACATTTACATAACTCTCACACGCACGTACATAACTCTCACACTGCTGCTCTGACTACATTAGCCATCATCCCCATCAACATGACAAAGGGGAACTCAGGTATATGTGAAGCTGCCTCTCAAGGCGAGTTTCTTCCTGATGTCAGCCTGCGAGCTTCCATTTCCTGCCTTGCGAGCGCCGCCAGTTTTCCCGGCAGCAGCACGAACCTTTTTCAGCTGCTTTGAAGGAACCTTCGTCTTCTTCACCTTCATGGCTTTCATGGCCTTCATCGCCTTTTTCCTCACAAGTGCAATGATTCAACATGCTAAGACAACACTCTATCTCCAAGTGTGTCATGGAAGTTCTTTCTCGGCATATTTCGGCCACAGACTATATGCAACGATTATATTGCAGAACATAGTGACATAGTGGAACACTGAAACGAATCAAACCTGTCAAGACCTGCTAACAACGAACCGAGCTACCGTGGTTGAGAGTCCGTGGCCCACGCCGACAGCCAGCCCTTCTGCCCGCCACTCTGGTCTGCCAGAATATCTGAACCAAAGTGTCCTTGCGTCACCGCTGCAGGCTTCAAGAAAAAGGTCTCCCAGCAGAAGTGGGCCTGTGCCCGTGCCGTGGCGCCGTCAGCCACCAAGTGCTTGTCGTCGAGGCCTTCCAAGATGTAGTCGACAGCTTCCACATCTCTGACGACATACGCGTGTGACTGGTACACTCGCTCGGCATAGTGAACCCCATCAAACGCTTCCTCGTGACAAGTCTGTTTGGCCCACAAATCCTGGGCAACGCCACCGAGGACCAGCATTCGCCAGCCAGGGTGCTCTCGACCCAAGCGGGCAATGGCCTTTCGGATCCTCGAAAGACCGCCTGCAAGAAGCTCAGCGTCATCTTCCAGGATGAGCACGTTCTTCGCTTTGCCATCATCAAGCAGCTTTCGCGCCTTGTGTAGCGCAATGGAGTGCGATCTATTGCACCCGTAGCAGCTCCATGGGCTAACACTGCCCTTCCGGACCATGGCTCGCAGCTTCTTCGACAGCTTGATGTGCCCGACGCATCTTTGCTTGGACTTGGAATCTGTCCAGCTCAGCCTCACCAGGGATTTGTGGACCCTGATGTGCCCATTCTGAGACTCCAACATCTTCCCATCAACGCCACGCACTCTGTGCAAATCCACTCCAAGCTCCTTGGCGATGCTGACCACATTCCGCCACCGGTCCTTTCTCCGTGCCAAATTAATGGCCAGTGCAATGTCCATTGCTGGCTCAGGCACAAACTTCTTGGTTGGCTTTCAGTGGTGAAACTTCGCGTGGAAATCCTTGGTTTTCAGTTGTAAAACTTTGCTAGGAACATCTTTTGAAAGCTGGCCCCATTCGCTGCTTATGTGTCGTGTGAGCCTGCAAAAACGACTAACATTGTGCACTCGTTTAGCTATTTCCTCTTTGGACACATCCCGCTGGTGGGGCTTGAAAGTTATATTCATGGTGTCTGGCTCTATATTCATGGCATTTCGCTTTGGTAAGAACCAAGCCCAGCTACCAAAAAGAGTGCGTGGAGTTGGATTGGAGTTGGGACACAGCTCCACTACCGAAAACCAGGTTGATGGATTTGGCTTGAACAGAGCTCCACTACCAGCTCCACTACCAAGAATGGTCGGCCCATTAAGCATGGATCAACGCTTGACAGAACATTCACAGGTCTCGACAGCTTTGCGCACTTGTGGTTCCAAGCCAAACAATTGCTTGCACCAAAGGGTTGCCCAAAACACACACCACCGAAGCACCCTAGAATTGCCAGAAATCTTCCATCCACAGGGCCCACCTAAAATTGTCCCAAACCAAACTGTTGCCCGCACCAAGCTTTGCCCAAAACGCAACACCACTGAACCACCCCGGACCTACCGGAACCGTAAATCTTCCCTTGACTAAACCAAACCGTTGCCTGCACCAAAGGGTTGCCCAAAACACAACGCCACTGAACCCTGCAGTGCATCCATTGAAGCCAGTGGTCAGGGGAAAAAGTATTGAAACATATTGAAGTATAAAAAGGTTAAGCATAGAGGCTAAGCTTCACTGTGAGCAAGCCTTCAACCAACCCACACCTCTCTTGGCGGGGGCCCCCGACAAAATGCCAAGCGTTCGGTCGAAGAGCCTAGCCTCAGCCCGATCGATAAAGTCGGCAACCGCTGGCAGAACCACACAAGGGTTGCTGGTGATGCTCGGGCGCTGGGATGAATGGAAGATGTTTCAACGTGAAGATGTCTGGCCTCTATTGAAATGTTGCACGCGGGCAATTCTAGAACCTAGAATCCCAGAGTCACGGAGGGTACGCCCAGCTATCCTTCCCTGGAAGGGTCAAACATATTCCTGAAAGGATCAGAACTATTCCTAGTCCTAGTACACCTTCCGGGTAGCCTACTACTCCTTTTGAGTTTTGGTGTGGCGGTGGCAACCGGTGTTGCCAAACATGTGTATCAAGGGGTGAGGTTGAGTTGAGGCACATTGTTTGAAGAAAAATATGTCTCCAAATTGGCAAGCAATCCCTGGTAAAGGAGAATTGTCTTCAAGTAGGACGGTGCTCTTTTGAAAAAATTGCCCAGCTGCTATCACCTGCTTCTCCTTTTCATCCTCTGGAAACTCAAAGAAAGAAATTCGACCGCCCTGTCTCCTCATGCCAAGAATCCACTTCCTTCGAACACCAGCGCGTCAGTCGCCATGAACAAATTGCTGTCACTGTCACTCTGACAGTGGCTGGTGCTATTGCTGCGGGGTTTTCCTTCTAGTGTAAGCAATTGTGCTGCTTCAACTTTTTTGAATGAAAGTGCACTTGTTGGGCCTGATCCCATTTCGACTGAATTGAGCCAATGAATGTGACCTGGTGCCATGCACCTGGAAGATCCCACACTTCTTTGAGTGGCCGCATTCCGGTGCAGCCTTGCCACAACCCCTCAAACAACATCATCTTTCCATGCTCCAAAAAAGCTCAAAATCTGAGCGCAAGGGCGCCTACTAGGATAGCAGAAGCAGCTATTGGCAGGCGGTAGTAGTAGTAGTAGTAGTAGTAGTAGTCGTAGTGGTAGTGGTAGTAGTAGTAGTGGTAGTGGTAGTAGTAGTAGCAGTCGTCGTCGTCGTAGTGGTAGTGGTAGTGGTA